ATAATGATGCGTTGCCACGCATCTCTTTTGCGACGTCTACTTGACATCTTTTTAAAAAAGATTTAGATTTTTTGGTACGTGTCTAGCAATGACGCGCTTCATACAAAAAACTAAAATGCGTTGTCGGTCCATAAGAGTTGGTTAGATCCTCTGTTATCTCTCTGCTGCCAAAACGATGACTTTCAAACTTTCTCTCTTTAACTTTTTCGATTTTATGGTCATTAACAGAGGTGAATCGGTGACCTGCACCAAATGCATTGTGCCACTTAAATACTTGTGTTCGTGATAGGCTCAGCAACACACTTCTGCAACATTTTGAATGATTCCGTGGCCGTGATTCTATTGGAAACACAAAATTTCATGCAAACTTGTTGTTAATTTTTTTTTTCATAGTAAAAATCGCCAGAAAAAGTTTTCGCGTTGTAAACAAACAGCGGCCAAACACACACTAATTGACAAATGGAGATCAGACTTCACACGAACGTTAAAAACGGTTGTACCAATTTAGGGAAACGTTTTACGCGTACAGTTTATATGAACCTGTCCGGGTTAAATTTGATCTTAAGGTATACCGACAGGAATACTTTTTTAATAAGCTCTTTCGTGGTGCTTTTAGAGAGAAGATATACAGAGGGCGTCTACGCTTAGCACTAACCTAATTTTTATAAAAGAATATTGTATTTTGTAAATTATTACATGTAAGTATCAAATATGTTTCTAATATACCTGATCCTCAGTTCATATCTCTTAAAAGTTGCAAGCTAATTAATTGCAAGACATTGATACATTTTTTTAAATCTTTACTCCCACATTTAAGGCGCTTCATCAGGGGAAACTCTTAATAAATAAAGAATTTTTCTTCATTATCAGAGTTCGCGTTGATACCGCGCGCAGTTGTGTTGCAAATATGTGTTGATTTTTTGGTATTAATCTGCATTACCAGCTTTGTCGGCATAAGTTCGCAGCTGCAATATCTTTGAACATTATTTATGCACCTGCTGTATAAAAAATCGCCTTGGCGAGAAGAAGAAGAACTAATATAGAAAGGATATTTTTATGTGCAGACGGGTGAAAGCACACACGCACACATAAACATAGACTCAACTCCATAGGTATTCTAATATTGTTGTCTATTTCTGTGCATTTCTTATAATTTGCATGAAAAGACGCGGGGAGATGTAGTAATTTGTATGATTAGACAACCAGTTGGCTGTCGTGAATGTTGCACACTTACACACATATATATTTATATACATACACATATACATAAAAATGACTTTTGGTGTATGCTTATGACTCGATGTTGACTAAAAATAGACTTGGAATATTAACATAGGTTTTAAAAGAAAAAAATCGAATGCTACGGTAAAATTGCATGGACAAAAGTATGTAACATATTTCTATAAATACATAGTATGTATGTTTGTATGTTAATGTGCAGAGGTGTGCGTGCTCCACAACATTTCGCAACACTTGAGAGATTATTAGCGTGTTCCACACATGTGCAGCTGCTCTGTGATCCACACATGCATACCTTTGCACAAATGTTAGTATGGATATGTGTATGCATGTGTATGCATGTGTTGAAAGTATGTCTGCCCTCAGCTGCTTGCATCCATTATGTGCGCTTTCATAAACCCTGACAAATAATTCTCCATGGAAGTACCAGTAGTTTGGCTATGGCTAGCATTCAACATGTTGTTAACGCACGCACGCACACACACACACACATGCTCAAAGAACTCATTCACACATTCATTTCAATAAGATTTACAACCATATGTGCTCATCTCTAACAAATGTTGATATGTGTGTAGCTTTATATGCTCGCTTTTGTTGTTGTTACTCTTTTCTTAACGCGCGATTTCAGCAGCTGAATAGTGTGTCTCATGTAGTGATGTGCATTATTTTGTAGTGTTGTTTTTAGCTTTTGCTGTTCGTTAGTTTAAGGTTATGTAGCTTTTACGCTAATAGTAGCCGTATATCATCCACGAATAGATTAAGTTAACTTCGTGGAAGCACAAAACAAAGTTGGCGGGCAAGGTAGTCACCGTTACCAATGCACTAAGATCTTTATCTGAAAAATTAGAGAACAATTTTTTTGGTGCAGAAATGCAGTTAACTACATGGGCTGATAATTTGTTCGACTATTTTATCCTTGGCTTAGAGTAATGACCTCAACTAGAGTACTGTCAAGCTTCATGACATTTCATCTAATCATTCGCAAGTTATTGGTCAAAAGATAACGCTACCTTTGAATTTTGTGTTTACAGTGGAAAAATAATTATTTCGGATTTTGATAAAACATCGTATCTTGATAGGCAAAACACCGCTGAAATTGGCTCGGTTCGACGGCTGAGTACTGATTTGCGGAATTTCGCCATAACCAAATGTGCGTTGTTGGTGGTGGAAGTTGTCTCGGAAAAACAATAGCGGCAAGGTTTTTACTAGTATTTTTGGGAGTTCACACGAAACTGTTTTCATCCTAGTCAAACATGAAGCAAATCTATTTTATATAATATTACCTCATTATTTTGGAATGTGGATATGTTGGGGCATAGCTACTGTGACAGTGAAAAAAATAAGATTTTTGGGAATAATTAAAAAAAAGAAATACCAACTGTATCAATTGTTTGAGTATATAATTCTACATATTTAAAGAATACACAGTTTGAAGAAAAAAAATTACATATTTTTCGAGTTAAATGCGATCTCCGATAACGCTAAAAAGATGCCATTACCTGACCAGTTACTCCGACCTGCCCGTGAGTAAAATCTAACCATAGAAAAAAAAAAAAGGTTTACTAGCAGATCCAGACAATAACCTACTGTCGAAAAAAAATGGAGAAGTATATAGAGAATATGCAGAAAAATAGATAAATAATAAAATTTGAGACTCGCACTACGGCCTAAGGTCTATTGTGCCCTTCCTTATTTCACACGGAATTAAGCTTATAAAGAGCATATCGATTATGTAATTTATTTATAATATTTACACCAGAAGATTGATGGTATAAATGACTGATACAAATAATATACTTACTAGAGATAAGACCACACCTCGTTTCATCACAAACAGATAGTATGTATTGTAAACAATTATGTTGCCCTATATCGGAGAAAATTTGGATGTTTTCCAGTGTCCAGATTACAACCTTATTCATTAAAATATTGAATGTGTCCTTGTTTTTAAAATAATGGCATATCTAATATTTTGATAATTATCGACTTATTAGTAATAAAATTGTAGTATTCCAGTCATGATTAGGGTTCTGCGCATTGTACAAACATGACATGAACCCCATTCTCAGACTCCTTACTGAAAATATGCGAAAAGTTTTAAGGTTTTACTAAAAATAAAACGTACGCATATCTAGAATTAGAGTCTATAAATGTCCTGTTTTCTCGCTTCCGTTTCAAAAGTAATTCGCATGGACTACTCAGAAACAATGATGCCGCCAAATATCCAGATATCAATACAGTCTACCAATGGATGTGAATAAGAGGGTGAAATATCTACACCAAAGTTATTCCCTCAAAATTAACTCAGGGATTGAATACATGATCAAATTAGGAATGATAAAACAATTTATCAAGGAGTTGGACGTGGAAGTATGATGTTTTAGTCACATTTGTAACAAATTTCCGAACTTAGTATGGAAAAGTTGAAAGGTGAAATATTTGATGGTCCTCAAATACGATAAATAGTGAAAGACACAGATTATATCAATGTTATAACTGTTCCGGAAGTTGAAGCTTGGAAAAGTTTTGTGTTGATAGTCGAAAATTTCCTATGCAACCACTGGGTACCAAATTATGATGAAATTGTGCAGAATATCCTGACAAACTGGGGCTATCGCTAGAAGCAAATCTAAGTACCAAGTTAAACTATCTCTGTAACTTCCGGATAATTTTGGAAATTAACATATTGTAAGGAACAGGGAGAGCGGTTCAACTGGGATCTAAAGGTGATGAAAAAAAGGTGGCAATGTTGATGGAATCGTCACGTGATGGCTAGTTCTTAAAAAAGTATTGTTGACTGGAAAATTACAAAAGAGAAGTTTACTGTTTACAAGTACTTCGAGGCAAAATTGATATTACAAAGATTTTAGCAATATTGTTTCGTGTTTTCTGATTAATGTAAAGTAAAATGAAAATAAGGATTTAAAATAAGGCTATAAAACCACTGTAGACCTGCATTATACAAGTATGGTATATCATGATTGTAGCATACGCAATAATTATTTCGCTTTTTCAAAGCTTTTTTTAAAAAAAAAAAACTTTCCCTACCCTAAAAATAATATTAAAAATTTCATCAAGTGACCTTTTTATTTCCGGTAACAATTTTCATGTGTTAAGATACTCTTTTGAATAATTTGAATAGCTTTCATAATAACTTTTCCTATAAATACTAAGCAGATATATGTATGTATACCTTTTGACTTCTCAAGTTAAAAAAAAAACCCCTTAAGAAACCTTGTCCATTCAAAACTTTGAAATCTGTTGCTTTCTATATTTATTTATACATAATATATATATTTATAAAAAAAATTTCGTTAATCTATTAATATAGGTAGACTTAAAAATATTTACCGAAAAGGCTTTTTACTCCAATTTGGGATGACAGTTGACAGCTGACAGTTGAAGCATCCATAAAATATTGCTATAAATACCCTGTATTTGCTTTAGACCACAAAACATAAATGAAACGTGCGGCTTATAGCCAGGGGGGTTGTGGCCAAAGTGCAACAAGTTTGCGGCAAATTGTTATTTATGAGTTTTGATCTTTTGTATTGCTTAGTTATTGTACTTTTAAAACAGACGCCAAATGCAAGTAACTGTAAATTAAATTTGACAGGTCAATAAGTGGTGGCGACGGCAGAGACTTAGAGTTTACTTATATGAGATACACACACATATGTATACATATATGGATGAACATAGATAGACTTCGAACTTTTAAATACTTCTTTTCAAATTTGTTTCTATTCTTTTCGTAGGTTCTTGTCTGGAGTATGGACATTCATGCTGGGGTGGTGAGTAACAGCTGGAAAGCTATTTATATTACAGTATAGTAATAATATAAAAAAAAAAATTTTTACAGCGCATGGTAAACGCTCCAGTGGCTCGGCTATTGTCGACAGTAAAACTCGGCTTGTGGAGCGAAATTCACGCGGCGGCAACCAATTAAATTTGCTAGACGACGACAATTCAAATCGATTTGTGGCTAACAAGGTGAGAATTTATAACTTTTAAGTATTTTATTTCTACTTGTAGGACCCTATCGGTTTATATATAAATCGCTTTGTAATTATTCGAAATTACCGTAAAGAATATTGCTCTTCCGATATTTCAAAGAACATTTGAACCATTCGTTAAACAGAAAGGATTCGTTTGGAAAACATATTCGCTTTATTGTATATACTGCCTAATGATTTTCTCCAGTAAAACCTTCAGAATATTTGAATTTCTGTAATTAAAATTTTACCATCTTATGGAAAGAGCGAGAGCATTATATATATAGGTCAAACATTTGTGGAATAAATCGACTTTTTAAAACGATTTGATTGATTGTCAAGCTAGTTTTGAAAAAACCTGTCGAGGAGAAGTTGCTGAACTACAAGTACTTTAGAAGACTTTACGAAAAGTTTTAGCCAATATGTTAACAACAATACTTCCACTTTTTTTATTTTCTACAGTTCGACATCAGTGAGGCAACCACGTCGGCTGAAACTGCACCACACATAGCCATGAGTGCAGAAGACACCTCAGCAGATTCGACAAAAGAGCGCAACTACATGGGACAAACGCAACTAAAATTTCCGTTACAAAAGACTAACAGTGAGAACAGCAACTTACCGCTAGATAACAGTATTCGAAAGAGTGAGACGGCTGGCTTGCGTGAAGAACGGCAACGCTCTCTACATTTGCAACAAAAACGCAAGTATCCGCAACATATTGAACGCTGGCATAAGTTACCGATTTTCGGCTTACGACGCACCTACAGCAATTCACCATTGACGTTGACCGATGCTGTACCGCTAGAATTGCCGACACGTAATGCTGAGAATGATTTACTACAACAAATTGGACAGTTGGCGGGCGAAAGATTCGACGATGTTGGTGTTTACTATGACTTTCCATAGAAGTTAGAGAGATTAGAGGGAGAGGAGCGCTGTGGGCAGAACGTGAAGTAAACATTTGAAGGCTGCATAAACGCAAACGCACACACATGCAAACAGTTACATTATGTATGAGTTTTTTCTGTTTAAAAGTGATTTTTAAAAGGTTACAAAATTAAAAAAAAAAAATTAAAATTAAAACAATGTAAGTGCATGAGAATATTCTCTATGAAAGAAATTACATAACCAATTTAAAAGGCTCTAAATGTAAACATTTTATTATAAGAGAACTCTATTTGTGTATTTTAGGCGTTGCACTAAGATAAATAACAAAGATTTTACAAAAAAAAATTGTCTAACAAAATTCAACTATTTAACTAAAATGTACATTGTTGTAAGTTATTAAATTTTATGCAATTTATGGCTACATAATGATCAGGTTACTCATTATCATAAAATTTAAATTAACTCGATCTCCATCTATTTGTCAAAATATTGATGCAATGGGCTGGATGCATCAATATTATTGACGACTATTAAAGCTGTGTTTAAAATAAAGTTGAAAATACTGCATATGCATAAGTATAAGCAACCATGTATTTGTTTTCAATTCGCAAAAACAATATTTAAATTAACAAACAAAAAAAAATAAAAATTAATTACAAATATGAAAATCTCTAAAAAATATAAAAGTTGTTTTTGTTTATTAAAGTTATTATATAAATATTAATCAAAGAGAGCACTGACACGTTTATTCTTACCCAAATATTTTCATTATTTTAATACAGTTATGTAAGTAAGTAACACAATATATTTGCCAACATTCCTTCATACAAATATTTACGACTTTATCTTAGCCGGTATTTGGAAGCATACAACATCACCCTGTTTATCACCCAAGCCCCAGTGTATGACCAAATTAACAGTCGGATAGATTGGTAAAATTTTGAAACTATTCTTGTAGGTATATGTTTGTCCGGCTTTAAGTGGGCAGCCCACCTTCTCTTTGCCCTCGGCATCGTAGATGTACGGACAGGCGCTGGTGCCATAATAGCCAGGGAACGGTAGTGGTACGTCCAAAATAATACCCTGTATATCGGAGTTGAGTTCGTTAAAGTCACGTTCGGGTTTAAGCTTCATTTCAATGCTGGCCTCGGTGTTGCGCTTGAGTGTGCATTTATTTTTGGGGCAATTGGAGATGGTTACTTCATCCGCGGTTAAAGCGCGTGCAGTCGCTGTAATCATTTTATTTTTATTTTTATTATATTGTTGTTATTTTTCATTTGTTTCTACTTACACTTGGGACACTTTCTCACTTCGGTGGCATTTGTCAGCGCAAAGAACATAATAAAAACGGTAGCTGTGCTGATGTAGGACTTCATTTTTGTGAATTTCCTCTATTGATTTTCACTTAGAAACTGTAATTAAATAATATCAAAATTTTTTTCGTCTGACTCAATAAAAACAAAATCTTATCATAATTCATAGTTTTAAGAATGGGTTTCAGCCTACCATGAATTTTTGTCCTCTTTTTTTTAATAATTTTCAAAGGTTCTCAACTAGTTTGGTACCTATGTAATAACTGATATTTTCTTACATTTTATTTTCTTACATTACAGTAATTTACATACATTTTTACAAATAATTATTGGTTTTAGTTTTTTTTATTTTTGCAATTAGCGGTCATAAAACTAAAAGGTTTTTAATTGTTCCTAGAATTCTGAGAAGCTCATGCATAATTCTGCTTTCACAACCAACCGAAGCACATGACAGGTTTTTCATTAGTTGCTCAGAGAGATGAAAATAATTGATAATGTGATTTTCAATGGAAAATGTAATTAAAGCGATCAAGGTCAATATAATATCTTGACAATTTTTAATAAACAATGTATTTAATAAAAGGAAGCTTAATGTATTTCTAATGTAATTCTATATTGAATCTTTCTTTATTAAATTGAATTTCTTTTTTAATTTAAGTGAAAAGAAAATATGTTCCCCCTTCTCCTTATACTAGAAAAATATATGTATACGCATATATTTGAAAATATTTCATTCAGAAATCTTTTTGTCACTACTCCCATTTCTTGATCAAAACCCTTATGTTGACGAAAGGGTTAATGAACTATTTAATAAAAACGACAAAATCTGATGGAAATTGGTTTGCAATACTCGTTGCTGTGCTAATGTTTTCGTCGCCATTGTACAATAGTTTTAATTAGATTGCATATTTACAACTTTAAATCACGACATGTTTACAACAATTAAGTTTGATTAATATTGCTAATAAAGAATTTAATCGTTTTTTTACTTTTATATAGAACCGAAATCTGGCATTAGAGATATAATAATTTTATCTGTTTTTGCAATGAGTTTATTTGTAATAAATTATACCCGATTTCATAACGATTTATCTTCGAATAATTACATACATAAATAAGCCGATATTTCTATTATTGCAAACACATCTTTTCTGCCAACAGCTCTGGTGTTAATGGTTCATAATATTTGCTATCCAATGAGTTTCTAAAAATTGTAAAAATTATTATTGTTATTGTAGAGTTCACATGTTTAGTTAGGCATTTTTAGCTACAAACAGCTTTAGTTTTCACATCTGAGCTGAGCAGGAAACTTAAGTCGTAATTTATTCGTTTAGGTACAGTGGGTCATAGAAGTATGTATATAAAGCGATTATTATTTGTATTGCTTTAAATTTGCTACTAAATCATATTTTTTAATGTTATTTTTAAGAATTTTAACCAATGGGAGTACCATCTGATTAAACTTGCCTCGGACTTATCCAGAGTTGCACAACCTTTTTTATATTCGTTTGATCTCTATACGTCAGCTAGTGTGAGTTTGCTTAGGACGCGATTTGTATCATGGTAATAAATTGAACAATTAGTTTGTATCATGGTAATAAATTGAACAATTAGTTTGCTTGAAATTTTGTTAAACATTCATCCACATCTATTATTGATGATATTATCGTAAATGTTAAAGAAATAGTGCGTAAAAATAGTAATGTTTGCCTATCGCAGAGGATCTCAACATCCCTTAGAGATCAACTCAACCATTTGGTCAACGTTAATGCTAGTCTCGTACTAAAACAACTGAATCTTTTGCAAAAACGCCTTCGTAAACATAGATTTGTAAAATAAAATATCGATTCATAATATATTTTATACTCTTCTTCTCGTCAAAAAATCTAACAAATATACGGCTTGTTTATTGAAAAATAAAAAAATTATCAAAAAAAAAATAAAATAAAAATATTTTAAACGTTAAGTACTTTCAAAATATGTTTAAAATCAGCAGTTAAAGAATTAAAAAAAAAATATTTATTTATAATTATAATTCATTAAAATTATGACTCCTGCACATAAAACAGTTCGAAACTTCAACACATAACCAACTGCAACAAATTTCTTAACTAACTTTTGTGAACCCGTGTTTAATTTCATGCATAATACATTTTATAAAAATCCGGAATAGTACAACAGTCTGTACTAATTTGATGCTATCAATCGAATAATTGGCATACAATTTGAAATAATCATTACTTTACATGCACATAGGTAAATAGATGTACTATATTACTAATACTATATATTTAAAATACAGACATTTAACCTTTAAAATATTTATATTTTTCACTTCTTTATTGAAAACGCGCTGAGTGATTTTAATTGCGGTATACCGTCATAGGTACAAAGTAGCGGTTCACAAAGTAAAATAAGCGAACAAACTGAACCGTTATATACTTTTAATTATTATTACTATTTTCTTGCTTACTTGCTTACACTTTTTATTTCATTTAAAAAATCTTTTTATTTTTAATATTTACTTGTATTGTATGTATTTATATACATATATATATATATCACAGTATATATATGCCATGTAATAACAAAATTATAAATTTTATTTAATAATTGCACAATGCTGCTTCTTTTATCTTTATTTATCGCTATCAATTCGAAGCGGTGTACTGTTGTGTTTTTGTAGGGGAAAAACGAAAGACTTAAGACACACACGCGCGCTCTCACAGCCAACAACACGTTGCGACCGTTGTATGTGTATAACTGAACTGAAATGTCTGCTTTGGTGACTTGAATATTTATAGACAATAATGTCTGTATACATACCAACATATATGGTATAAATAAAATACATTTACATACAATCGTACATATATATGTGTTAGTATCATTATACAAATAAAAAATATTCGAACTATGAACACTTGAGGTGATTTGATTGCTCAGCGTTGCTCTGAGATGCGATGAGACTTTTACCTAACTACATAAATATATACATACATATATACAGATAAACATACAAAAATTTCTAAACAAAGAGATTATCGCCGGTAAATCTATGAAAATGGTTATAGACTTCAAATGAAGGCGGCGTGTGAGAAAATAAAACCAGGAAAAAAGCGAATTTTGTTGTAAACCGAGAATACGGATTAGAAGTGATGTAAAAAAGATATGCTTAAGTGCAAGAAAATAATTTAATATTGCAATGCATAATTATTAAAAAGAAATCTAATCGATGCATACAACTTCATTTCAGTGAATAGAAGACTTATCTTCGGACAAATATAATTTAAAAATGTGTAAGGTTTATGTCTATCTAAAAATTTAAGATAGATAGATTTATATTTAGATTCTGAATATTGTATAAAATCTCTTATACAATATTAAAAAGAATATTCACAGTACTTTTGAGTAATTAAATTATATTCAATGTATTCAATGTGTTAACATATTTTTTCTCTTTCCCTTTTAAAAGAACCATTCAGTAAAATTAATTGAGTCGAGTCATCAGCAATTACTTTCTTCGGAAATTATAGCTTTGGTGTGCTAAATTTCAGAACGATAACTCAAAAACTGTGCGACTAAATCGACTCAGTTCGTCTTGTTGATCATTTGTATATACTATATTTATATACTATAATGTCTCCGATGTTTCCTTCTGGGCATTAAAAAAATTGTGGTAAACTTAATATACCCTGTTCAAGTTATAAAGACCACGAATATATCTTATACCTACACCTAAACATATAAAAAACAAAATTATAAAATTATAGAATTATATACGACGAATTTAATGAAGTGACTAATTTTTGGTTAAAACAAAACAAAGCTTTTCATCTTAAAATAGAAAAGTAATATACCGCTATAAATGCACTGTAAATTGCCTGCAAAAAAGTAAAATTATCTAAATCATGTTGTTAGTGATAATGAGATGGTATGTCATTGCTATTTGATGTCCTATATAGCGCAGCTTTTTGCTGAAAGCTTTGTGCGTTCTTCACGCCTCATAATTAGCTAAATGCATATACATTAGTTTTCTCTCGCTTTAGTTCAATATTTTACAAATTTCAAAGTCATAATCGTTAGCGCGATAGAGTCGAAGTACTTTTACAAGGGCAGTCTAACTAACGCTTTCAAGTATACATATTTGTTGGTGCCAAGCGAAATATTCTCACCAAATTTAGATTATGAGAATTATTTAATTTATAATATAAATGAGATTACCAAGCTACATCGAGCTAAACGAAATGTTCTCAAAAATTAGACATTATAACTATATATTAGTCGATATAAGAGTGACTTATAATGTCTCTATATCAATTCATATACTTGTAAAAGTAACTTCGATAAAATTTTGATAAAATTGTCGGCTCGAGGAAGGTATGAACGCACCTTTTCAATTTTTGGTAGAAAAACCCAACAAATTCTCACTCTGATTTGGTTAAGATATCTTACATACTGACCGATATACATGGAAAATACAAACGATAATATATATTTTATTATACAAGTATTCGTCTAAAAGTTAAATTTTTCAACTAATAAAAATGCAAATATCATAGAAGTTTTTAAAGAATTTTAAAATAACGCTATTCTCCTACATATTACAGATAAGAATATTTCGAAATTAAAATTGACCGAACGAAGCAGTAAGCGGAACAGTAAAAAGTTGACTTTATTTCTATCACTCTTGCTGTCAAGTAAGTAGCATGTGACGTCACTTTAGTAGCAAGCGTTGTCAAATATATTAATATCAAATTAGCACTTCCGGAGCAGCTGTGATAATCGTCATTAGACCTATATTATATAAGAAAGCTAATTAAATAGTTAACTTCGGGTGCACTTCGAGTACGCTTCACAGATGCTCTTCTTATAGCAAAAAAAGGGGCATAAAACGATATTTTTCATGAATTTGATTAGTCTGATTCAAATAATTTGTTCGGAAATTGTAGCGTTGGCTTGGACAATAATCTATGCTAAATTTCGTATAGATATCTTGTCGCAAAAAAAGTTTTCCTTACAAGGACTGGATTTTGATAGATCAGTTTGTATGGCAGCTACATTTTAGAATGGTCCGATATCGGCGGTTCCGACAAATGCACAGCTTCTTGGGGAGAAATAACCGTGCGCAAAGTTTCAGAACGAGATTTCAAAATCTGAGAGACTATTTATTAGATTTATCTACAAAGAAATTAATTTTTTTTTTTGTAATTCAGTGCACATATTTTTCTAAAGTTGTACACTGGCTATCAATTACTTTCCGATATATGTACATACACAAGTATATACATACATAGACATATATACAATATATTATGTACTCCAAACTGTATGTATAATTTCTATGTAAAATATTATAGTTTTTACCGGAAGTAGCAATGCGACCGGAACAAGTTAAAACTTGTGCCTTTTTCCGCCTTCCATTTACAACCGGTTAAATTGTTTACATTACTTAAGTTTTTAAATAATTAGTTATTAGCATAGTGCGAATTTAATCACACATTATTTAAATAACTAAACGAAGTTCAAGCAAATACTTGATACTTTGAAACGCATTTGTTATGTTTTAATGAAAATTACATTGTACTGCATATTTTTTACACTATTTCTGAATTGTTTTTTTAAACTTGTATTCTTGTCATTTTTTGTTAATATTTTTGTATGATTTTGCAAATTTTCCCAAAACAAGTTTGCGATTTCCTTATATAATTTGTCTCCATATACTCTAGTCACTTTAAAGCCATCCCAAATAAGCACTACTGATAACCTTGAATTTTCCTACCAAAATCTGTGTACGAGTATGTTTATTTGTTGTTGGCCCAAGTATTGCTGCGGCCTTCCTACTGAACGGCTTGAAAACTCGAATCGAACTGAAGCCAAAATTTCAACAAATGCTGGTGTTTGGTGTGAGTTGCGTGGCGTCTCAACGTTTAAGTACGTCTTGAGCTTTTTACACAAATGATAAAAGTAAATATATATTGTAAATATTTGTATGTATGTAGCTATAGATACTCTGGAGTATTTGTATAGAGAGCTTTTGTTTACTTATAAATATTTTGTAAATATAAATAAATATGAGACGCTGGCTTTAGTTCAAAGAAGCTGGCGAAAAGCCAGTGTAAAGCCATACTTTAACACAGGCTAACGAAACTATATGCAAAAATTACAGCTGCGTGCAAATAATAAGAAACACAAAAGAAATACAAATGTATTTCTGAAACTATTTGAAGCAGTAAGAGTTTTACATACATACAGTTTTCGTAGAATTCCGTACCGAGTATTTAAGTTGTGCCATAAATCTCTAGACTTCTTCCCTTCTGGTGCTTCATGCCAGACTTTCGGGACAGAAAAAAATTTGTATTTCTTGAATGTTATTTTCGCTGTGGTATAGTGGTTTTCTAAAATATTTTAAAGGAATGCTGTCAATTTGACAATTCTAGGCCGTATATAAATTTGGTTATGTCGTGTATGTAGACCCAACTGTCGTCGAAAGGGCCATTTTGCCATCCTCTCTAAAATTACCACGTCCTTAATTCACGATTTTTAAATTTTCAGCTCCATATTTAACGTTCTCATCGTGCATTTGAATACATTTTTTGCTTTCCACTTTCTCCTTTTTTCGGCAAAATTTTTTTTTATAGCCTTCCTATCTGAAGATTAGTGTACCGTTGTTCTCCTTTCACATATTTACCAAAGATACAAATACTATCCAATTGTAGTCATCTTTTACCTCTCAAATTATATCGACTTATAAATGTATATACAACTACAGAGTATAGAATATAATCGCTTTCAATCACGCTTCAGATCATTTTTAATTAGCTGTCAACTGCTGCCGTACTGCCATATACAATATTATAATATATTCAAGCATTACTACATATCTTGTACATTTGATAGTGCAAAATAAAGCAAAGTCTAACTGCATTGTGTTAATTTGCAAAAGTCAACAACTTTAATGAAGTAGGCGGGCAAGTCGAGAGTCTAATTGACGGAGGAGTTACATTACATTGCCGCTTGCCAATTTAACGACTCAAATGGACAGCGATTATCAAGTGTGTAAAGACATAATTGAGTTAGTAAGATAACTCGGCGCTTTTTTATGAATTTCGTTCGCTGTCATGTTTCAATTAAAATACAAATTTAAATGTTTATTCTTGTAACGACCAACACTAGGAATCACACTAAATTTAGTATGAAATAGACTGAATATGGAGACTTTCATAGGGAGGAGCATATATAATTGAATTAAACCAAACGAAATTAAATTGTTTTTGTGCAGCAATCCGAATTCGCGTTTTCGCCCACATTGATGGTGAAGTATGTAAGAGTTTTGATAAACTAATAAAAAACATTTAGACACCTTTCATAGACTCTTTTGTTGAAGATCTTATTATACATTTTCAGACTGTCAGTAATGGTATCCAATATTAATTTTTGTTATCCACATAAATAATGTATATAGCCTAGCCTTAAACGTCTTTTTCTCCTAACAAATTTAAAAGTTGTATTCTAAAATTCAATGACTTTAAGGTTATGCATGGTCAGAACTCCACAAAACATGAGATAGTCTAAAGAAAAGTGTCCTTACGGTGAAAATCAAAAGTCTGAAGTAACTCCATATTTAAAAACATAAATAAGAACAGCTTAGAATATTTTATAAGAAATATGCATATGTATTTTATAAGCTATATGAGTGACATGAGTCATGAGTAATGCAATATGCAGATGACTGTACTGAGAAACACGGCACGTGCCTTTAATATAAATTTTCGGATTTCAATTGAGATTGCGCATAATCTGATAAATAATTACAAAAGACAATTAAATTATTAAGTGGCATATAAAGACATATTTCATGTAGTACGAGTATAGAACTTTTTACACATATAATTCTTTGCATTTATTATGACCTGATCACGGCAAGGGCTCGATGACCAGATAATAACCAATAACTCCAGCGAAAAGCTCTGCTTACTATTAAATCATTAGTTGCGAAAATCCCAACCACAGTTTCCGAAAGAGAGGTCTTAAGCACTTCATGGACCTAAGGGAGTTATCACGCGACTAACAAAGAAATTTTTATATTTTTCTTAGAGTACTACCATAAGCTCAACTAGAATCCTGCTAATAATAATATTAAGTTTCATGGCATATGTACTTATATCATGGCAACAATCGGCAATTCGCTACCCTTCTTTGGGGCTCAGATAGAATTATTTTTTACCGAATTTCTCAAACATGTTTAACCTATATACTACTATGACATATAATAGCCATATAGAAAATACACGTTTTTGTATTAGCATAATATCTATAATATGATAGGTAAAAATGTAGAGTGTGGCAAGTCGAAGAAACCACTAGTATCAACCAAATAGACTGGCAAAATCTAATAGCAACTCCCTTCTATTCGCCACTTGGACAACACCGAGAAGCGAAAAAACAACTTGTATAAATTAAATAAACTGGCACAAGCCAATAGATGTGCAATAGCAAACACTTTGAAAAGTCTTCCATATGCCTTCTTGTACTGAATTCACTAGAAGACCGAAGACGACTGATAAAAACAATCTTCAAACTAAATTTTTGAAAATGTTTTGCTGTTCTAGTTTCGACGTTACTATTACTTATTACGCATCTATGCATTAAAAATTTAAAATGTCTGTAATTAAATAAAACGAATTAAATATACAATTTAATTAATAAATAATTATTGCTATAATTTATATATAAATATTATTGTAGTTAAAGTTTATAGTTATTGCAACCATTATCGAAAAATAATAATATTGTATGTAGCTCAAAACACATCTATCTTAGCTAAGCTTCAAACCATTAGATACTCAATGAGCATATAGTTACCAGCGTTGTCTAGCGTGTATGTTTCCACGTTGTGTTGTTAATTTTACACGCTAGGGGTTGATTATCTGTATTATTCCTATTCGCGACTCGTTACTTCGTTTTACTCGCTGGTATTTTGTTGTATTAGCCTCTCGTCTTTATTTTCAATTTGATTGGCATTTGTGTTTTCTGGAATATGGCGTTAAGGTCGGATTTCGAGGTGAGTTCGCGTTTTAATTATCAATTTAAGTAATTAATCAAATAGAATCAGTGTAAGATTAAGTGATTTCAATTGTTAACATGTATGGCAGCAAGTGCTTGGTGAATTGCAGCAACGCTGATTGGATTACAAAAAGCTGAAAGAAAGTCTGTGTAAACAGCCTAGTTAGCCGTGTGTGGAGAGCGCCAGCTAGGTGTGAATATGTATGTTCGGATATTTATTTGCTACAGCAAATTCCGCGATGATAATTATGAGCAAATGAAACGAAAAGCCCAGAATATACACTTAATTATGATTATGTGACTGCTCAAAAGTTGTTTATTTGGCATTTTCGTTGGAATTAACAGAAATTTACTGGTGTCACACTCGTATTGTTTATTTTGCTTTATATGTGTATGTGTTTGTTGTGTCGTTTCGAGTCGCTAAGGTGCTGATCTGGCCATAATCGTTATGTGTTCTGCAGCTGAGCTTAGCTTGGCGGCGACGCCCTTTTGTGTCGCTTAGAAACCCAACTAACTTAATTTAATTAACCAGCAGCGAGACTACAATATGGGTGACACACCAGATCAATTTTACGAGACTCTGAAACATCTGATAGCGAGATGTATAATTTACACACATTTGAATGTATTTTTGTATGGCGATTGGGTGTGAATTGCATTAGTCATAAAAAAGGAAAATCTGACAAATTAATTCTTCTAGTGCAGTGTCTAAAGCGGTTGCAGCTGAGTTTTGAAAAATGTGCAAAGAATCGATAGCTTCAGAGTTGTACGTTTATGTGTATGGGAGGGGTCGCATTCGGGCCAAAGTTAAATGCATTTATTGCACACGTGAGTGGGCGGCTTTAAATACCATTTGGTAAATGAAATATACAAGTGCAGAGAGGTGTGCAGGTGGTGTTCAAGAATCTGTCACAATGCATCCACAGTAAGCTTGAATATTGAAAGTGGTTCTAGGAAAAGTTTCCTATTTCTCAGTGAACTTTTCTTGCGCTCACGCTCTCTTTGTGTATACCTTTCGTATATATTTCGTTTATTTTGTTGTGTTGCTCTTCTCCCTCACTCGCTGCTTCTGCGCTCGTTCATTCGTTTTTTTTTCTTCGTACTCTGCAT